CCTCAATGATGTCACGGACGGTACCTCTCCATGCGTGGCGATTGGCGGCAGCTGATTTGGAGAGCTCCACCCAGTCTCTTCGCCAGCTACGGATACCGAAGATAGAATGTCCAAGAACTGCTTCCATGTCTTGACGGACGGTGTCGAGCCAGGTGTTTAGTTGCCTTCTTCTTCGACGCTTCCAAACGGTCTGCGGTACTGGATCGAGGGCAGTATAGTTAAGCTCGTGGGACAGACGACGGAGAACGTGTCCAAATCACCTCAGTCGCCTTTCTTGACTGGCCTGGGATATCCTCGCGATACGATCGCTATACTTAACTCGGAGGATGCTGCCCTGCATGTGACACATATTCTGTCGCCCCGCCGTTTCGCCCCCATCGATAGTTTTGTATATCCAGTGACCCGAGTTAATCATTAGCTAACAAAGAGCAGTGTTGGAGGTACATGTGCTTGCAATGGACTGAAGTGGAATTTTGTCCAAGGCGTGGGAACAAATAAGAATGCACACTTTCTGCAAATTTTTCATGCGATTTGGCTTGAGCGTTAAGGACAGCGGAGCCCCCATACGCCTGTGTATGACCTTAGCTTAGACGATGGGCGTGTCTAGGTCATATTAAATACCACCAAACAGAGTGAAAGGGATTTCGGATGACCTCGGAACATGGGTGGACGTCATATCCTTTGCGAAGGAATACCTGTCAGCAATTGAATGCTGTTGTCTTGTCTAATGATGATAGGGGCGTCGGTTTATAATTCGAGAGTGATAAGACGGAACCTGAGATTTTCTCTGTGGTTTGCTGCTATTATTTAGGTGTGGAGCCTAGGTAAATGTCTATGCGACGGCTCGGTCATTGCGGTCGACGGCATCCACTGCGTGCGCGGCACTGGTGCCTTATTTTGTAGCGAGGAAGGCCTGTAAAGGTAAGGGTTCCTTATAAATATCACGACAGTAACAAAGCCCCCAGCATTGTGTAATATGGAACCGGTTGTAATAGAGGTTATATGGATGGGGCATACCAAGGGAAGGAAAGTAAAAATAGAGCGTAGAAATGTATTAAATAATAGACGCAGTTGTTTAAATAATCTAATGTATGAATACGTATAGTTCGCCGATCTGGTAGTGGAAGAGTGGACCTTCCGTTTTTACCCTGCACCAACTTGTGGAAATCTGTTGAAGTGGATCCGACAAACATTTTCAGCCGTCATTAGCCAGTCATATCCTATCTCAGGGGTGGATCACCCGGGATTCAACACATTTGCACATGTTGCTATGCGAGGGCTCTAAAGTGAGATCCAGGGAAAAAGACGGAACGTACGCTGTTCCATTATCAGATTGGCGAACCGCGTATATCCATCGTATTCTCGATCCCATCCGACAAAGCAACGAGCCCGTTGTGCACTGGTAGTGTTCCACTCAATTACCAAATGTCCTGTGTGATCCACACCTGGGATTGGATAC